AGAGAGAGGAAGGGAGGGAGAAAGAGAGGGAGAGAAACATCAGTGTGTGGTTGCCTCTCACGTGGCCCCCACTGGGGACCTGGCCTGCAACCCAGGATTGTGCCCTGACTGGGAATCGAACTGGTGACCGTTTGGTTTGCAGCCTGTGCTCATTCCACTGAGCCACACCAGCCAGGGCTAACTTACAATTTTTTAAAACCTAACTCAGCTCTACCGTCCTCAGTCAGAGAGTAAAATAAGTGTGTATCTCAGAGAACTTCACTGAAGGAACCGGAAGGAAGTTGCAGTGTGAGAACATGTCGCATAAGGGGGAAGAAAATTTGATCGTTAAGGAACCCACCTGCAGACAGGGATTCTAGAACAGAAGGTCTAGATCACTAGCCCTGACTGTGGAAGCCCCAGCCTTGATCATTCCTGATGTCCATAGGGCCTTGGATGAGAGCTACGGGAGGGATCCAGTCACTGCCTGGCCCTCAGTCCTGAGGGGGCTCAGACCAGTCTACCTCGCCCAGGTCAGGGATCAGGCCAGCCCCGCCCCCAGTTCCTTCTAACTGTGAGTTTCCTGACCTTCTCTGTGGGAGGAGGCCTGGGAGGCCAGGGTGAGAGGTCAGGTGAACAGACCCGCATCTGTGGTACAAGGGGAAGCACCTGCAGCAGCAGCTGCCACCTACTGCCCATCCCCCTTGCTCAATCCTCCACATTTCCCGAATGGGCTAAACTCCTGCCTCCACCCGAGTTGTCCTGTGCTTGACAACCCCAGTGGCATATGCGCTGGGGAATCCCAGAACAAAGATTTGGGGCTACAGGGTAACAATAAAGCCACAGGGACAGGTAAATTTCCTGCTGCCTCGCCCGTCTTTTCCTTCGGGTGGTGCTTGGTAAAGATCCCTGTCTTAGTGCACAGCACACACAGAACACCGTGGGGGGGTGGGGGGCGTGGAGTGCGGAGGGATTTTGCCTTCTGGATTTGAATGGGAAGTAGTCGCCGGTGCATGAGGACGTGCGCAGACACTCAGGGAGGTTCTTTCATTATGGGGCACATCCAGACTCACTCCACGCCGAGCTGGGACCTTACATCTCAGGCGTGTCTTTGGCTGTAAGCAACAGACCCAGGCTAACAATAATGCAGAGAAATAGGGTTTCCCCCTCGCACTACAGGGACACCCAGGCTCTTTCGCTCTGATATCCCCAACATATGGACCTTCACCCTTCTTGCCTCCAGGTCTCTGGAGGGTGAGAACTCCAATGATCTCGTCCACAGGGGGAGAGAACTCTACGTCTTCCCCTCTATCAAGAAAGCAAAATTCCCCACCTTCTTCCCCTCCAGTCTCCCACCTGGGCCTCAGCGGCCAACAGTGCCATCCCTAGCTGCGCGGGAGGCCAGGCGAGCAAGGGATGGGATCCCCGTGTTGGGCGCAGAGCAGGAGTTCGCAGCTTGGCCCTGTACTCAGAGATTCTGACTCACTAGGTTTGGAGTTGAGGCTTGACATTGGAATTTATCAAATGCTCCAAAAACCTAGGTTTAAAAAAAATTGTGATGGCTTTTCACCACACAATGGGGCCAGCTCAAGCACATTGGTTTTCTTCAACCCAAACCACCCTAGGCTCAGGGCGAGCCATGTCTCTGCACTGACTGGGATTCTCCAGCTCATCCTGTAGGCCCTGCTCCCTTTGGGATTCATTATCTAGGCGACTAGTCAGTAAGTTCGCAGGTCATTCATTGGTGAATTTGCAATGAATAACTAGTTAGCCAATTAACTGACCAACTAAAGGAATGGTTAGTTGGACTTTCCTCTTGTTTATGTGCCTGGCACAGAGGAAGCACTCAATAAACATTTCTCTCGGTAAATGAATCCATGAAATGGAGATAAAGTACAACTAATACAGCATCAAATGAGATAGTAGCTTCGAAACCACTTTGTAAATGGTAGTATACTGTATGGATGCAAGAATGAACATTTACATGGAAAACTACTTTAAAATGTAGGATCAGGACAAAGGTTGCTCCCCAGCCCTTTACTGATGAAATTCTGTTTTCATGTTTCTGAAATGGAGACCTGCCTTTTTCCCTGTTGTTGATAAGCCAGATTTTGCTTTCAGTAACTTCCTCTACACTTAGTGATAACATGTACTCTTTCTCCTTTTTGCTTGATCTATTTTAAGACAAAATTTCTACTTGTATTTTTATTAGCTTATTGTGGTTAGGAACCACCTAAACCTTTTTGGGACAGAGATGGGATAAAACAAACAAACAAGCAAAAATACACGGGAACTAGCCTTTATTAACTAGGTACTGCACACCAGACATTGGCATTCATTAACTTAGCCAAACCTCACAGTAAGCTAGTAGGTCTTTGTGATCATCCTTATTTTATGTATGTGTTAAGGGACTGGCCCAATGCCACGGAGCTGCTAACTGGTGAGCTGAGAGTCAGAACCAGGTTTCAAAGCTGAGGTCAGTCTGACCAGACCTGAGGGCGTGCCCCTGAGCCAACCCAAGCTGGTGTGATAGAGGTTTGGTTACGGTCAACTGTTTGCTTACCTAGTTGAGAAGAATTTTTGTACCTTGAAATCCTCAAATTAGTTTTGGAAAATAAGTGATGTTTTTTCTTTTCTCCATAGGCCATTTAGCAGTAAATACTATACTTCATCAATTGTCATCTACTCTATTATTTTTTAAAAGATTTTATTTATTTATGTTTAGACAGAGAGGAAGGGAGGGAGAAAGCGAGGAAGAGAAACATCGATGTGTGGTTGCCTCTTGCCCACCCCTCACCAGGAACCCAGCCTGCAGCCCAAGCATGTGCTGAGACTGGGACTTGAACTGGGGACCCTTGGGTTTGCAGGCCAGCACTTAATCCACTGAATCACACCAGCCAGGGCAACTACTCTATTATTGAATGTACCACTGAGAAGAGAAACCACTCAACTATGGCACACCATTGATTTTAAGATGTATCCCAATTTCAGAGACATCAAAATGTGAAAAATGTGTGTGTTAGAATCAATAAAATAAAGTATCCCTCCCAGGAATGGAGAATGTGTGTACACAGCTTCCCTTTCTCTCCTACTTGCCTCTTGGCTGGTTTGCGCTCTACTTTTCACCCCCCAAACCTTGCCTGTCCCTCCCACATCTCCTTTCGCTGTGTCATCATGGACAAGTCGGTACTGATTTGCACTATGGGTCCAAAGGCCGTGACTGTGAGCTGAAAGTCTCCCCAAAGCCTTGCCCTTGCAGAAAGTCTCTACTCTAGTTCCTTGGAAGAGCTACACTGGGTGGTCTCATCGCGAGCTTCCTCCGATGACTGTCAACAAAATTCTTTGCTGAATCTGGCCTAACTCTCATCTTCCCGTGGCACCTGGAGAGGTACTGCCTTCCCTGTTCACCATTCCAAGGCCGGAGCCGGTTGGTTCCTCTGTGTACTGTTTGTTTACAGCCATTCCCTACAGGCCGTGGGAGAGGACATGGGAGGGGGCTTGGGAGCAGAAGCTGAGGCGTGTCATCCAGTTCTCAGTAACACAGGAAACATGACTCCCTAGGCGTCTCCTGAAACACCAGGGCCTTCCCTTTCTCGGCTTCAGGAGGAGGCAGGATGCAGGGAGGATTAAGCTTCTCTACCCCTCTCAGACCTTACTTCCCCTTCCTGGCCTGGGACTCCAGGAGCTGAGTCCGGAAGGGAAGATGGGGTGGCAGGGCCTGGTGCTGCAGGGGGAGAAGGGGATTCCGAGCAGCGGGCCCACCGTGGAGCCCGGTTACAGGCCTGGCAGCAGCAGTTGGCTTCTCCAAGTTGGTGTTCCTCCTTTGCTTCCTCCTTTGAGTGCAGCGGGGTGGGGAGGCACTGATGCTGGCTTTCCATTTCCTAGCATTGGAAAAGGGACAGACCTGTCCAGGGAAGGAGTTTCCCCCTCCTGTTCCCTTCCATCTGATCTTGAGGTCAGAGCCTGGAAAGGAGCAGAGGCTGATGGGAAAGGTTGGGGACACCAGGAGAGGGAGGATGCAGCCCAGGCTGCGGATCAAGGGGCTAATCCGGGACTCCTGTTGACGGAGGACTCTGGGGCCTTTGGGACAAGTGGGCAGGCCTATCCTTGCCCCAGCGTTCTGGGCATGTGTCCGGCAGTGGGGCGTGGGCCTGAGCTGAGGTCCACGTGGGGCTGTCTGCTGTGGAGCTAGAGGGTCCTGTGGGGAGGTACAGACAGACAGACAGACAGACAGGGAGAAATAGAGGTAAGTGGAGTCAGAGGCTGTGCGGGGAGGTCCCGGCAGCTGAGGGCGCCTCATTTTCTGAGGCACAGGGGCCGGCTGGTCCCCAGCGAGACTTCCCAGACTGGAGCAGGCGTGGGGCTTCCTCTTCGGCTCTCTGGGATCTCGGGGAGCTGCTGGCAGACTCCCGGTCCTCGCCGCAATTTCCCCAAGAGGCTCTGCCAAGCCTGGCACCTTGGAGCCTGGGCCTCGGCTCAAATTCAGAGGCTGGCGAAGCACCTCCCTGCCGCCTGCGCAGCTCCAGGCCTCCTCCCGGTCGGAGCGCAGGGCCTGCCCTCCCCCGTGACCTCCGGGCCGACTCCCAGCCCGCTATTCCCGGGCCCCGGACGAGCAGGGGCCGGCCCAGGCCGGGCCGCGCGGGCCGTCGCCGCGGTGCTCGGAAGGGACAGCAGGCGCGAGCGGCGCGGGCCGAGCGCGAAGGTGTGAGAATGTGCGCCGGGCGCGGTCGGCAGACGGCGCGCGGGGCTGCGGCGCGCGGGCCCCTGGACGGGGAGCGCCCGGCGAGGACACCGCGTGCGCCCTGGGCGTCGGGCTCGGTCGGGGGCGTGTGCGGGCCGGGCCCGGCCGGCCCCGCGAGGGCGGCGGTCTGGAAGCGGCCCCGGCCCGGGCAGGCCCCGCGGAGGAGCGCCCCGCGTGCGGCCGCGCCAGCGCCCGGGGCGTGCCGTCCGGGATGTCGAGCCGCGGGTGGGAGTCGCGCGGCGCGGCCGGGCCTCTCGCCGGCTCTTCCCGCCCCTCTAATCTAAACCATGCGGGCTCCCAGCCCGGCGCGGCCGGCGGGGCGGAGGGCACCGGGCCGCGCGGCGGGGGAGCGGCGGCCACACCGGGCTGGGGTCCTGGGGCCGCGGAGCCTGGGGACCCTGGAGACCCCCTCCACGGGGGGCGGCGGGCGCAGACTGATTGACAGCGTCGACGTCAGAGGGGGGGCGTCCCCGCAGGGAGGAGGAGGAGGAGGAGGGAGCTGAGGCCCCAAAGAGCAGCCTCGGAGATCAAGGGCCGCTCCAGAGCCGGGATGTGACCGGCCCCGAGGGCGCGGCGGCGGCGGCAGCGGGATCCTGACCCAGCGGCCGACTCGGAGCCCCGGCTGCCCCGCGTCCCTCGGCCCCGAGCCTGCCGTGGACTCGGGCCGCAGGCGCCCCGCATGCGGCAGCGCAGCTAGGGTGAGTGCGGGTTCGGGCGGGGACGCGGGAGCCAGGCGGACGGACCGGGGCCACGCTGAGCCCGGGCTTGCCCGCAGGGTGGGGAGGAGGGTGAGCGGGAACGAGAGCGAGGGACGAGGCCGGGGCGAGGACCTGGGACGGCCGAGGCCACAGCAGGGCGGCGTGGAGTGCCTGGGACCTGGCTGCCGCCTCGGCCCGACTCCCGGCGGTCGGGGCGCGAGCCCTCCTCTGCGAGGGACCGGGCGCACCGGGTCTGGGAACCCAGGCACAGAGGAGGTCAGGGCCAGCGCCGGGGAACCAGGTTAAGCCGCGGTGGCCTCGCAGTTGGTGTTACCGAGTAAGACAGGCCACGGGAGAGGGCTCGGTTTCCCGCGGTGAATGTCGATGTAGAAATGCGTGTGATGGGAACACTAGACTCCAGAGCCTTTGAAGTAACAGGCTCGTCAAAATTAAAGCAAGGGGCATTGTATGTAATAATGATCGATGATCCAGAATTATCAGAATGTGCGCAAGCAATTACCAGAGAAACAGGGCGAAGCGGGATAAGTAATACGGCGCTCAGACTGTAAAACAACAATAAAATAATAGTCACTTTCACAACCAAGTGAAAATCGTAACCGCAAATTTAAAAGGATGGTAGACAAAGTAACTTTAAATACAGGAACAATGTGATAGGAACCGTTGTATTAAAATCAATAGCAATACTATAAGAAATAGTAATAGTGTAACAAATGATAAAAATATAGGAAAAATGTGAATAAGATGTGCTATTAAGGGAAATGCTCATGTTGGTAAAGTTGACAGAACACTACCATATAAGTTATTATTGGTACTATCATGAATTATTAAATAAATATTAACCCAGATCTAAAGAGCAACGGTAATACAAATAAAGACGGCAAGTAGAATTGCTGGAGTGATAGACAATTTATGGCCAAGGTATTAATGGCCCAAACAACATTATAAATAATGGTAGAGTAACAAGAAGTATTGTACCAGTGTGATGAAGAATAATCAGAACATTAAGAACTACAGCAATATTACAAATTATGACAAAGTAACAAGTAATGATGTGATGAAAAATAACTAGCGAGTTAAGATCTGTCCTGTCACCAATTAAGACAAAGTAAGAAGATACTGGAACGATGTGGTGAGAAATGCTCGGAGTATTAGGAACCATCCTAACAAAACAAGTAATGACGAAACCACAAGAAACGTTAAATATTATAAGGATATGAAGAACATTAATGTGAATACTGAGAACGATAACATTACAGGTTATGGCAAGTGAGGTTTTGAGGCTGTGACAAAGTACAAACAGGAAACGTTTTAGGGATTTTAGGGGTACAGAGTAAAAATCAAAATATGCTGTGTTAACATGACCCGTTGAAACCCTAGGCCCTAGGATGATGGGGCCCTGACGGGACAGCAAGAAGGCCCATATTTAACAATGATGACTTCATAAATCAGACCCGTACTTTAACCATACAGTATTAAAAATAAAAAGTACCAATAATTTATGTGATAGGATAAATATTCTTCATGTTATTGAGCTGAGCAGACTACTAGTCTGGTAACAGGGATAATCTAAGTAAAACAGTTTCCCCAGAGCAAGAACAGCACCACCAGTGATCCAGAGTGAAAAGGAAAACGCGGGTCTCGGGAAACGAGGCCGCTGCAGGCAGCAGGCGCGGAGCCTGCCGGCCGCGCCCGCAGAGGGTCCCCGAGAGGGGCGAGCGCGGGCCGCGGGCTCGGGCTGCGCGCGGGACCGGCTGGGCCGAGCGGACCACAGGGGCGGCCTCTCCACGCCCGCCGGGCGGGAAGAAGAGGACGTTAGCGGGAGCTCCTGGGCTGTCGGGGTTCGGCTCCCTGAGCGGGAGGAAAGGAAGAGGTGAACCCCGAGGAGGGGGAGGAGAGCGCGGCAAGGCCCCGGGCCGAGCCCCGGCGGTGGATTGGGGTCAGCGGACCCCGGCGGCGGACCGGCTCCGCCCGCCGCGAGCTGCAGGGCGCCGCTGCCCAGTTCTGGGTGTGACAAGTGTCCCGCAGAGGACCTAGTGGCCAAGGCAGCATCGCGGCCGGGCGGCCCCTCCTCCTGGCCCCGCGCTTGCTGGCCGCACCTTGGACCAGCCGACACTGGGCGCCCGTCCCGACTGGCCCCAGTTACAGGCAAATGCAGCGTCTCGGGCCAGGGCGCCCAACGACCCGCACCTCGCAGAGTCCCCTCGCCCGGGGGCTCCTGGGTTCCCCAGCCCAGGCCCCGGGACCCGCCCGTGGGCGGAGGGGGTCCGGTTGCCGGCCCTGCGGGGCAAGCCCTGTTCCCTGCTGCCCGGGGCCTGAGGACCAGCCGGGCTGTCAGCCTTATCTTTACGGGCTTTTCCCAGCCCCAGCTGGCCCCGGCCCCCTTTATCTCCTCCGTTGCACTTGGCTTATTTACTTTGTGAGGCCCTGGGAGCCCAAGTCTAGGCCCTGGGATGGGGCGGCCAGTGGACAGGAGGGACGAGGGCCTACATCCTGGATTGGCCAGAGAGACCCAGGGAAGAGGGGACAGAAAGAAGGTGGGAGGAGGAGAAAGGGGGGACATTCTGCCACAGACGCAGGTACAGAAAGGCACCCGGACGTGCAGGAAGCCCCACCAGAGCGTGCCCAGACCCAGAAGGGGGAGAGGAGCAGGGAGGTGCACAGAAGCAGGAACAATGCAGGGTCGCACCCACGATGGAGGCGGGCGGGCAGGGCCCTGCAGCCTGGGCCCTTGTCCTGATGCCCAGGACCCGCAGGCACACGCGCAGGTGGGTGGATAGTCCTGACACCCCGGGGGAGGATGGCTGTGCCCTGGGGGAGGCCTGGGCTGTGCCTGTGAAGCCCCCACCCCCACCAAATACCCTGGTTCTTAGCTGGGAAGAGTCTGGGTCCTTTGCTCTAGAGCTGAGCCCTTTGGAGCTGAAAGTGTGAGCCAGTGAGCCAGTGAGGAGGGATGTGAAAGCGAGGCTGGGGAGGCTCCTGGCTGAGTTCAGGGCCTGATGAGGACCAGCCTCAGGAGGCTGTGGCTGCCTGGGTGACTAGGAGGCTGGAGGGGGTGCGGTGCCTGGGCCTGAGGATGTGTGTGCCGCGTGGGTGATGCGAGGTGTCGGTGCGAGTGGGGATGTGCAGGGCAAAAGCCTGTGCTCCAGGAAGCCTCTCCCTGACCGCCGTCTGAGCCAGTGGGCGAGGGCAGATGGGTGAGGAGGGGCCGCCCAGCCCTAGGCCTTTTCTGCAGGTGTGGAGCCCCAGGAGCTTGGGTCCCACCCTCCTGGCGGGGTGCTTCTCTCCTGTCTGCCCTGGCCCAAGAGGGAGCCTGGACTCCAGCTATTAGGGAGCAGCCCCCAAAGACCCAGGCATCAGGCTCAACTGGAGCCCAGCAGGAGGGCGGGACTGGGGGTATAGCTGGGGCAATGCTGAGAGGCGGTCCTTCCCCGCAGACCTCCGCATCGCGCAGCCCCACACCCTGGGCAGGCAGACCTTGCACCGGGCTCAGACCCTCCCCGGTCCAGAGCCCAGAGGGAGGAGGCGAGGGTCCTGCCCTGGCATATCCTCCCCCCCCCAGCTCGGGAGGGGGCGGGGACCACGTGCGCCAGGGCGGCCTCCCCACCCAGCCTCAGCTGGAGGGGGCTGCGAGGTCCTCTGACCAGTGTGGACTTGGGCCTGTGACCGGTGTGTGCTGTGCCCACAGGAGATGCTGCAAGATAAGGGCCTGTCCGAGAGCGAGGAGGCCTTCCGGGCCCCGGGCCCAGCGCTGGGTGAGGCCAACGCCGCCAGCGCCCCCGAGCCCGCGCTGGCCGCGCCGGGCCTCAGCGGGGCCGCGCTGGGCAGTCCCCCAGGCCCCGGGGCGGACGCCGCTACCTCTGCCGCCGCGGAGCAGGTAGGTGCGCGCCCGCCGCCGTCGGGGAGAGGCCAGGCGGTGGTCTGTCTGCCGGGGTGTGTCAGTCCGCCCCGCTGCGGGCAGGGCTCGCTTCCTGGGGGACCTGGCTGCGTCCTGGACAGGCTGCCTGTTGATGCTCCCCCGGCAGGGGCCCGCGCTCTCTGCCTTTCCGCTAGGAATCCACCGGGATCCCCCCGGGCTACTCTGGAACGGGTGGGGGAGGCGAGGGAGCCCAGGCCGAGTGTTCAGTCCCTGAGACCCGAGAGGCCGGGGGTCAACGCCTGGGACTGGGCGGGAAGAACGGCCCCGACCCGCCCAGTGTGTGCGGGAGCCGCTGCGGAGCTCGGAGGCCGCGGGGACTTCCCTGGGAAGGTCACGGTGATAACCTGAGGATGGCAAGGAACGCAGGCCTCTGTGCACGCGCGCCTTCGGCCTGTGCGGGTCTGCGGGCACGCGCGTCTGGCCGAGGAGGTGGCCCCTTCTGGGTCCGCGCGTCTGCAGCCAGCCGGTGGCGATGTCCGCACCCGGACTGTTCGTGTTTGTGTGCGAATGGGTCCCCTGTCCTGGCACGGGCAGTTTACGTGTCCTCTGCCGGCCCGTCTGCAGGTGCAGCTCCAAAGGAGGGGCTTCAGCTACCGATCACATGCTTTAAAAATTCGTCCATGATACGGGGTAATTTTGTGAAACGAAATCTAGAGGCGTGGGCTGCCGGGACTGGCAGTGTTTCTGCACAGTTCCTTGGGCCTGTGTTCTCCGTTCTGAGGGCTCCGCTGGGGCCACTGGGGCCGTGGGCCAGACGACACAAGTCCCCCTTCCTCCCCTCCCTAGACCATCGAGAACATCAAGGTGGGCCTGCACGAGAAAGAGCTCTGGAAGAAGTTCCACGAGGCAGGCACGGAGATGATCATCACCAAGGCGGGCAGGTCAGCTCTGGGAAATATGCTGGGGGTGGGGATGGGTGGGAGCAGTGGAGATCCCCAGGGGCACCCTTAACACTCTTCTGGGTCTCCAGGCTGGTGGGGTAGCTACTGGAGTTCCCCCCACCACTCTGGCCTTATGGCCCAGCCAGGACTTGGGACGGGGTCTCCAAAACCCACAGACGGCCACCCTGCCAGGGGCACCTGGAAGGAAGGAGGAGAGGGGCAGCACTATGTAAATGAATGCAAATAAAAATCTCCATGCTGGGGGTCTCAGCTAGGGCAGTTTTGGCCCCCTGCGAGGGGCTGCTTTGCCCTCCTCCTCTTGGAGACCTGCCGGGGTTTCTCAGGATTGCATTGACTGGGGACCTGGAGATGCCCCTCAGCAAATGGAGGAAGGGAACAGGGCCCTGCTTTCCTATTTCCATCACGATTGGCCGGCAGCGGGAACCTCCCGTCTCTGGTCCCACCAGTGCCGCTTTCTGCTGCCAACCCCCTGCCCCAGTTGAGGGGAAGGCACCGTTGGGCCCTGTGTGTGCTGTCTGGGGAGCAGCTCCCGGGTGGCTGCCAGAGAGGGATGATTTATAAAGTGGAAACATCTTTAAAATGCGCTGGTGTCTGTGGGAGAGAACCGGGAGGAGAGGGCGAGAGGGGGAAGATGCAGACAGAGAGGCCTGCTGCCGCCAGGAGTCTGGGGCGGGGCCGCCAGCAGAGCTGTCCTCAGGTGAAGCCGGGAGGCTGCGGAAAGAGAGGCCGGGAAGTTCAGGTTCAGAAACCCCTCCTTGCCCCCACTCCCTCCTCCACCCCTCCACCTCCTTCACAGGCTCACACTTGATTTTGATCCTTGGGGGACAGGTTGGGTGTGAAACTGCCCCTCGGCCTGGCTGTGGGCCCATCCCTGGGTCTTCCGAGGACTGAGATGGTGAAGCGTCAGGGGCCGGAGATCTGGAGTCAGGCAGCAGGGGCTTCAGCTCCGGCTCAGCTGCTTCCGTCTGCGCGGCCCTTGGCGAGGGTCTCTGCCCCTCCTCATCCCCAGCTGTAAAATAATAGGCCCTTCTTCATACAGTTGTATGCAAAGCATTTAGCACACCTCCTGCACATGTAAGCACACAATAAATGCTAGCTGTAACATGAATATAACAAATGCTAATAATATTAATCATAGTTAAGGGAAACGTCTGGCATCCATTCAGCATTTCTCTCTCCACTTTCTACAGAACTCTGCTGAGCTACTTAGACTATTCAAAGGGAATGGAAAGCTGGTGGCTTGCAGTGTAGGGGTGCTGTGGTCCTTCCCTTCTGCTCGCTGGCCAGCCTGGAGGTCTCCTTTGTTTCATTGTGGGTGGGGGGTCTGGGCACTGGCTGCCCTCCTGTCTGAGTCAGGGTGGCGGCCAGGGCCTCCAGGGTCTCTGTCAGGAGAGGGAGCAGTTATATGTCAGGGCCTGAGTCTGCTGCGTTTGGGAGGTGGGGAAGGAGGATGCATAGGGGGGCCTGCCGGAGGGTGCCACGTGGGGTGGTCACTGAGGACAGTGAGGGGCCAGGTATCACAAGCTCTCGCTTTTCCCAGTGTCCTGCTCTTGGGCCAGGGGCTACGCTCCCTGTGGCTTGGTGGTGGCGGGTAGGACTGAGGTGCTGCCTGCCCTCCCCTCTTTCTGCGAGGACGGGGCCTCAGACCAGAGGCCCACTGCAGACTGCTGAGTGGACGACAGGTGTGAGGGGGGCTTTATTTCTTGCAACTGCTGTGTTGGATGGAAGGAAAGGAGACAGAGAAAGCTCCAGAACTTCCATTTTTAGGCAGCAGAAATAACCTTGTCTCTAGAAAATAAATGGCCAGCATACTCTTTGGGCAAGCTTGGCCTCTGCCATTTTAAACAAAAGGCATTTGTGACTTTTCTAAGTGGGGTTTCCTGCATCTGCTTGGGTCCTCCTCCCTCCCACCCCCACCCCCCAGTGCACACTCACACGCACCCTTGCAGAGGGGACAGGCTGCAGGCAGATCCTAGCGCCTGATCCCCGTGGAGGCTTAGAGATGGGTCTCAGGGAATGACGGTGTAACTTAAAAATGGTGGTGATGATGTTGGCCACTTGTGGGCTCCTCACAGTCCTTCACTTCTCTGGCAGAAAGTTTTCTTCCCACCAGGTCAGGTCCTTAAGGAAGTCACTAGCTTCAGCCCCCTCCCCCACAGTTCTCCCAGACCCTTTTCCCTCCCGCATAGCTGCCCGCTGACTTCAGAGACCACTTTCACTGCTCACGTCCCCTCCTCCCTCATTGCCTCCCTCCCACCGGCAGCCTCAGGAGGCAGCTCGCTTTGCTCCGGCTGTGGCTCTTCACCCTCCTGCCCGGTGCCCTCCCGGTTCTCTTCTCCGTGTCTCTATCAGCACCCTTCCTGGGGCACTCCCCATCTCAGTAACCAGCCTGGACCTTCCTCCTAACCTTGACTCACAGATTCCTAGACTGTTACAGCTGGATACAAACCCCAACCCAGAGAAGGAAAGACACTTGGCTCTTGTAGACAGAAGCCGAGTTAAGGCAGTAGCCAGGTCTACACCAGCCAAGCCGATACCCCCCCCACCAGAACAAAGCCCCAACTTTGAGACATTTCTTTGATCGCCTACTTCAGGGCCAGCGCAGTGTTTTGAGTGGGGGTTGCTGCCCTGCCCTAGAGCGGGTTAGGGGCGTGACCGCTGCCGTCTGGCTGATGGAAGGGCAGGTCCCAGAGAAGAGGGAGCAGCAGGCTCTCCAGCCAGTCTGAGCCCTTGGGGTTACCAGCCACTTGCCTGAAGTCCTGGAAGGTCTGCGGGCCCAAGGAGCGAGTTTGGATTCTCAAACAATTTGATCTGGTGAATGAAACGCCAACCACCGCGTGGCCCAGCAGTTTCTGGATGCTCAGGAGCCCCTGATGCCCAGTGTAAGGTGTGGCCAGACCCCTCCGCAGCCAGTCTCTGCCCCCCTCAGGCCTTGCTGCCCAGAGGGTCTGTGTGCCGGGGGCAGAGAGCAGACCCCTTCCGCTGCCTCCTTCCATTCCCGTCAGGCTCCATGCCTGTGAGAAGCCGCATTTTCTCCCAAACACAGATAAAAGTGAGCTCCACAAAAATTTAAATATAAACCTCCCCAAAACGAAAATTCCCCAAGCGTCTGGCTGCTCTACTCCTAGGTCACGGTTGTGCCACCAGATAAATCTCCACTATCGGCCTCCACAGCCCGCTGAGTTCAATGTTGCTGGTGTCAGTGACAGTGAATTTGCGTTTGAAAAATGAACTACCGATGAGAACTCCTGTTGAACCTGTATTGTTTGTTATTCTGAGGCAAGGACTTGGCCTGGCTTAATCCGGGGCTTCAAAGCCAATTGCCCTCGCTCTGTATACAGAGCGTCAGCGCTCAGTGGCGTGGGTGATAAGAGAAGTAAGGGTTGAAGACACTGGGAAAGTGGGCTGGGGAGAGAGTGCTTTGATCTCTTTTTAAAGTATTTTCTGAAAGCAAAAGTCTATCAGAAGGAAATGTCTTTAAAAAAAAATCTAAGAGAAACAACTGACCTTCCAAAACAGCATCCATTCCACACGCCCTCGCTCCTGCCCTCCTCCCCACCCCCGGGGAAAATATGTCTTAAAAATGCTTTGAGCGAATTAGAAATCTGTGTGTGTGCGTAAAGTGGAAATCAATTACGTAGCTGTGTTATTGCTCTCAGAAACCATTCGTCTACAAAAGACTCGGGGCCTCAGCAGCCCCCCAACTCCGCCATGGGTGCTGGGCCCTGGCCTCTTCCCAAACCATCCAGAATGCTTCCTGAGGACCCCCGGGTAGTGGGGGTAGAAAGGCGGGTGGGGTTTTCTGTGGACCCCCAACCTTCTGCCTGCAGCCTGTTCCTTTCAAACTCCGGGCTCCAGGGTGAGTGTGAGAGTGTGTGTGTGTGTGTGTATTAATATATATATAAAATTTTTAATGCCAATTTTATTGAAGTGGAACATTCCTGCAGAAAAGTGAACAATTCTTAATTGTGCAGCTCTGCAGACTTTCACAGAGCGAACACACACCCAGATAAAGAAGCAGAGCATTACCAGCCCCCAGCACCCCCCTGGTGCGCTCCCGTGGTCGCCCCCGCCCCTCCCCCAACCTCTGTCCAGACTTCTCCGCCTTTCAACCTGGTCTTGCGCCTACGTTTAAGGGAAAGCACGTAGAGCGTTTCCCAGGCTCCCCGCCCCGCCCCCCCCCCCCAGGAAGTCGGGGCTGCGGTGGGTTTGGGGCTTGGACGCCCCGCTAGGTGGGGAGTCTGGCGGGTCCGGAGGGCCGCTACTCCCTGCCCCCCTCGCGGGACTGGCGGGGGGCGAGGCGGTCAGCGCCTCGAATTGGCGTCCCTCTGGGCCCAGCTGTAACCGTCCTGTTCCCGCTCAGCAGCAGCGAGGCTGCGTTTACGGATTTGTTGCCAAAATCAAAATGCCCCGAAACCGTTTCTCCCCGCGCCCCGTCCGAGGAAGCTTATCTTAGCAGCTCATTCTAAAACCATTTCCGAGGATGGAGGAGATAAAGGCTCCAGCCCCGCGCCCCTTCAGAGCCTGTGTCCTGATCAGAGGGGCAGCCCGGGCTTTCATCTCCTCCCCCGCCGGCGGGGCCGCGGCGTGTTTATTCCCGGCGGGGCCGTCTCTGCGGGTGCCGGGAGCGCCCCTCCTCCTGGGCGTCCGGGAGCCCAGGGCCGGGGCAGGACGCGAGGGGAGCGCGGAGCGGGTGCCGGGGGCACGCGGACGGGGCGCGGAGGAGCCCGGGGAGAGGATGGGGGATGCGGAGAGGCCGGAGGGGCTGAGCGCTGGCGCGCCCCCAGGTGTGTGGGACAGGCAGGCCGGGGCTTCACGTGCAGCGCGCCGTGCGGCCGCGTGGGATGCGGGCTGCTCAGGGCCGTCACCTCCCTGCTTGACCCGCCCTCCTCCCACTGAAGTGTCCAGTTCTGCCATAGGTGTCGGTTTTCAGCTACATTTCATGCCTGTCCTAAATCACAGAAACAACGTGCACCTCACCGCACCCTTTCGTCTGCTGCAGAGGCGAGGACCTTTGCAATGCAGGGTGGGCCCAGAGGGGGTCAGAGCTCCCCAACCCCGCGGGGCCTCAGTGGCTGGAGGCGGGCCCACCTGCTGAGGGCTCCCACTCCCAGCCTCCAGCTCCCACTCCAGCCAGTTCTGGAGCCTATGGGTGGGTGGAGCACGCGCTTCACCGTCGCACTCAGCCTTGTCCCCCCTCGGGACAGGCTGCCTTTCATCCTTCTGGAGCCCCCTAGAGGGGAAACGACTGCGCCCAGGGAGCCCACAGAGTGTGGGCTCCAAAAGCCCAGAGGCAGTCAGGGCCGGAGCTGTTTCCACGGAGGCTCGGAGCTCACTGAGTCCTGGAAGAGCCTTTTGAGGACTTTTGAACTCCCCATGCAGATGGGACACCCCACCTCCCCCCTCCAGCTTCTGAGGGCTGCTGCCCGGTGGGACCGAGGGCTAGGTGACACCTTCCTCCCCTGCCCAACTCCCCCCAAACCTCCCTGACTCTGTGACCAGTCAGGAGTCCGTCTCTGGTCAGAGTCCGCGGGAGAGGCCGAGTCCCAGGTCACCCACCCTGCTCGTCCAGGAGGGCTCTGCTCAGGCTCCTCACTGGCCTTCTGGAAGGTGCTGGGCGTCGGCCAGGCCTCCACGCCGAGAGGAACCAGAGGGAGGAGGACAGCACCCCTCACCCCAGGGGGCCAAGGAGCTCGTGCAGACTGTTGAGGTGGCAGCGAGCCACAGCCTTCAGCCTGTTGTGGACACTGGCCTGGCGGGAGCAGTGTCTGCCCTCTGCTGCTGCCACCTGAAAGGACAAGGAGGCCTCGGTCGGGGCACCTGGACCGGGCACAGCCCCATTTTGTGGCCGTGTCTGTGGCAGCTACAAAATGGTGGCCTGGGAAGGACAGGATTGTGGGCCCTCCCCCGGGGAGGGGGAGGGGGGCAGCTGCGCCTCCCCTTGCTCCAGCCTCGGGCCCACCAGGGGAGAGGCTGGGCCAGGGACGAGGGTGGCGCAGGCTCCAGCTGTGCCCCCAGGCCAGGCGGGGGGCTGGCGAGCAGGAGGCAGGATTGGGTTCCTGAACCCTCTCACTTCCCCGTTCCGGAGAGGGGGTGGGGTGGACATTTGAAAACGCTTTCAATTGACATCTGAGACAAATTCTTCCACGAGGTTTATAAGCCCCTAGACGTGCAGCTAGCGCTGCCCTCCTCCCTCCAGGCACGCACGCGTGCCTGCACGCCGCTCCACCTCACACACTCAGTCCCAGGCACTTGTGCATGCACATGGCCGCTGCAGTGCTGTCCAGGCCTTCCCTCCAGCCAGAGCGAGGGCGGCTGACCGGCCGAGCTGGGGTCTGGACTGGAACCCCTCTCCACCCCCCTCAGCCTCAGGGTCCTGCCCGGGGCTTGCTGTAGGGTCGGCCAGCTTATGGGAGTCTTGGACCCTTCGGGAAGCCTTGTCCTGTCCAGGTAAGCAGGTACCCATGTTGACAAAATGGGGGACTCCCATCATATGTTTCAGGAGTCCGAGACAGCTGGCCAGAGGCAGGGCCGCCTGGTGGCTGTCCTGCAGTGGGCCGGCCAGCCGGGCACTCTCCCGGCTCAAGGGGCTCGGTTCTGGAGGCCCTCCGTGTCTCCCTCTGGGGGGCCGCTTTTGTCAGAGATAGTCTCAGAGGAATGGGGCGGGGGGAGGACGGTAGTGAGAAGGCTCTGTCCGCCCCTCTGAGGAAGTTCAGGGCCAGGACCTGCTGAGCAGGGGAGGGAGCGGTGCCGCGTAGGTGCTGTTGAATGTGCGCATGTGCTGAGGGGTCGGGGAGGCTCTTCTCTGGAATACTCTTTGAGCCTCAGGGTCCTGGGCAGTCTCAGCATGGGCCGCAGGGACTGGAAAACTGTCTGTCTTTTGGTGAACCCATTTTCATAGAGGTAGGTCCCCCACTGGCTTGTGGAGAGAGGAGTGCAGCGGGTCAGCGTTCATAGTCCTGCATGGGTTCATTTAACCCACACGGCAACCCATGAGATACGAGGTCATCTCTGCGTTTCAGAGATGGGGAAACCGAGGCACAGAGAGAACCAAGTGAGCTGCCCTCCGCCCCCCAGCTGTCTGTGGTGGGGCCGGCTGTGAGCCTCGGTGGAGTGGTCCTAGAACCCATGCTCCGCTCCTGGTCGGACTTCCCCTGGAACCCGGTAGTGTGGGCAGGCCAGCCGGACATCCACGGGGACACACATCTCTGCTGAGCCCTCCAGAGGGATGCAAAGACTCCTAGCAGTGCTCTCCTGTCCCCTGCACGTTGGTTTAAGGGTCCCCAGAGACACGACCCAGAGGAGATGTCTCATTGACTAATAGAAGAGGCTGGCAGGGACTTCTGGGTCTTCTACTCTGGTTCCCATGGTGGCATCCCAGATCTTAGCTGTCCAGGGACTGGGGAGGCACAGGAGGGAGACTGAGGTGGACAGTTTGGTGATGAAACCCTCCCTCAGGATCCTGACCAGAGTCTCTAAGCTCTAGCTGCTCACAGCTACTAGGCCTGAATCTTTGGGGATGGGGGGTGGTCAGTTTGGGAGACCATGGTAAACCCTCCTCCTAGACACACTGACTGACAGCTGCAGGGGCTCAGAGAGAGGCCAGTGCATCCTCCTCCTCCTGGTGTGCGGGGAGGCTGGGGCCGGTGAGGGACCTGACTCGCGCAAGGTTCTGATGGAGGCCAGACCTGTGCTGTAGGGGCCGCTGTGCCATCTCTGCTGGTGCTCTGTCCATGTCTGCACCTCACCCTTTGGCTTCCCCCAGGAGGATGTTCCCCAGCTACAAGGTCAAAGTCACAGGCATGAACCCCAAGACCAAGTATATCCTGCTGATTGACATCGTCCCAGCGGATGACCACCGCTACAAGTTCTGTGACAACAAATGGTAGGAACCTGGGGCCCTCACGTCCTCTGCCTTCCCTCCGCTGCCCTCACCACTCGCCACACCCGTGGCCACCTGATGTTCACCGCAGGGACTCACCAGAGAGCCTGAGTGACCGCCCAGACCCACAGCCTGGGGAACCGGCCTGCAGAGGCTGTGGGGTCGGCAGGTGCCCGCCCACCCACCACAGGCTGGGCTGGGCCTGGGGTGGAAAGTGGGCTGCAGTGCTTGGTGGGTTTTGGAGGCCCCTGCTCCCCTGACAGCCGTGGACACACCGGGTTGCTGGCCATGCTGTGGGGGGACAGATGAACACCAACCTGGGGGGACTTAGGCTGTGGCCGTGCTGCCTGGGGAGGGGGACAGGAGCCATTTCTCTGTGGGGGTGGGGGGGGCCGGGGGTGTGGCGCTGCCTGTTCCCGCTCACTTCCTCTCTGTCTGGCTGCAGAGGGTATCCACCGGCCAGAGTGGGGGGCTGCCGCCCCAGGGGGTGGCTGGTGGGACCCTCTGGTGAGGGGCTGGGGGATACAGGTGGCTGAAAGGCAAAACCAAACTGGGTCTGGGACAGCAAACACTGGGCTCCACTTCCTGAGGCCACCTCCTCAGGGGCCTGTCCCCAGGGCCCGGGACAGCACTAGAGGAGAGAGAGGGGCTGAATGGGTCAGCAGCCCCGGGATGGGGCTCCACGGAGGGAGGTTTGTAGGGCCAGCAGGGACTGGGCGGTTGGGGTCCCCAGGTCCCGCCTAAGGCCGTGTTTCCACCCCTTCTCCCCGGGCTGGGCCTGCTTGCAGCAGGCTCTGGCTGAGGGGCAGCTACCGGCTGATTTCTCTGGGGCAAGAAACCCGAGAGGTGTCTAGGCCCCCTGAGAAGCTCCCTCCAAACAAGATCACTTACAGCATTTTGAAATCATCTCTATAACACGCGAAGCAGTGGAGCCTGCATCTCCCCCAGGACGTTTGTGGTTCGCCCTGTTCCTCCCAGCGGACATTTCCCTGTGACCCTCCTTTTTCCTTCACTGTCTCTTCTGCCCCTTCACTGCTCGCCAGTGCGGTAGGACCAGCAGGGATTTTCCCCCTTTGGGTCGGTGGGGATTTGCTCTCAGAGAGGGGACAGGGGCTCCGGGCTTCCCGGACCCCAGGAGACCCACCGCTCTGGCCCCACTGCTCTGTTGGCAGGATGGTGGCGGGGAAGGCCGAGCCCGCCATGCCAGGACGGCTCTACGTCCACCCGGATTCTCCCGCCACGGGGGCCCACTGGATGCGGCAGCTGGTCTCCTTCCAGAAGCTGAAGCTGACAAACAACCACCTGGACCCCTTTGGCCACGTAAGAACGGTGCACTGTGGACAGATGGATGGGTGCTGTGGGGTCTGGAGAATCCAGTCTGGGGATCTAGCTCCAGGCTTTGGCACTTGCCAGGCCAGTCTGTGGCGGGAGCACAAGGTGCCAGGCCCACAGCTGTACCATCCTCCCCTTAATGCTTACTGGCTGGGTGACTGGGGGCACGTTTCTCAGCCCTTTGGAGCCTCAGTTTCCTTGTCTAGAAAGTGAAGGTGACCATATGTGCTTTTTTCACGGTAGTGAGAACTAGATGGGAGAATTTGCACAGAGCACCTTGCATACAGGAGGCTCTAAATAAATGCCAACTGTGACCACAATGACGACGATGACGGGTGACACCTCTCAGCCTCGGCTTCCCCAGAGTTGGCCTTGCCAGAGCATGCGACAAGTGAACTTTCTTGAGAAAGAGTTGTGGTGAGGCTGAAGCCTCTCTCTGGCGTGTCCGCCAGCTGGGCCTGGCCGCCGCCGGCCCTCTGGAAGGGCAAGCCTTGCTCTGGCCCCAAATCAGCTCCTTCCTGGCCTTGCTGGGACCTGGCTCTGGCCAGAGAGATCCCGAAGCCCCACGGATGCTGCTGCTGACGCCCCGTCCAGGCTGCTGAAGGTTATTCTTTCGCCATCTGGCCCTGGCAGGCCCACAAAAGTTTTTTATGTGGAAATTTTTAGCGCAAAGTATGTGGGGCCAACTGAAGCCTGGGGACCTCGTATTATCTGCCAGGGCACAGCCGTACCCCTCTCCGCTGCCCATGGTTCCCCTGGAAGTGTGGGGTGGGGTAGGGGCGCGGGTGCACTAGAGGCTCCCAGATGCGGTTCCCTGGGCTGCACACTTAGTGCTCGGGGCGTGCACGGTGCGGGGGGAAGCAGGCTGCTGGTGTGCAGGTGAGTGCGCTCCTCTTCTACACCTCAGCTCTGTTTCTGGGAATGTGCGTGCAGAGCAGAACTCTGTGAATCACAGCTCCCCGTGGAGAAGGCCACTCGTGCTGCGCTTCCGATGGGCGTGTACGTGACTAGCAAGCAGCTTTTAGTTCTGCTTTTCCCGGCGCCTGTTCAGTTCTCTTCTGTGTCGGTGAACTATAAATCCTGGTCTAGGAGAATGCTTAGTTAACATAACCCCTGACTGACTGCTTACCTGTTTTGTGAGCAGCATGGGTTTCTCCCAGGCAGGGCCGGCAGGTGCTGTGGGGTGTGTGGCAGAGACGTGCGGGTGTGCATGGTGCCATGTGCTCGGGCAACCCTAGCCTGTTGTAGGGGCGGAGACAAGCCACCAGTCCAGGGGGGGGGGCCAGCCAAACCCCCTGCCCCCCACGCCCCGCCTCCTGAGCACAGGGCTGAAACTGAGGGGAGAGGCACCTTCCAGGTGTTCCTGGGGACCACCCTGGCTGAGACCCTGTGCCCAGCCAGCACCTCTCAGGTCCCCTGATTGGCCAGGCTGCAGTGGGGGCAGGGAACCTAGCTGACAGGCTCGTCTCTGCCCACAGCTGTACACACACAGACCCCAGGGACAACCCCCTGGGGTGAGCACAGAGCTTGGCAGGAGCTGAACCTCTGGGTGAGTGGCCAGAGGACCCAGGGAACAGAGGTCTGGTGAGAATTCTGGGTGCATAGCTCACCATGATGGTCCCCAGTTGCAGGGATGCCTCAAAGGACTCCTCTGCTTCCCTGACTCTCTGAAGAAGTGGCAGGGGAGGGAGTCAGGTGGCTGGGAAGCTGGAGCTGGGCTTTTTAGGAGTGGGAGAGAGACCTGCCTTGGTAGCCCACCAGTAGGTTTTCCCAGCTTGGCTTGCCTCTTTGGTGGCTCTACTGGGGCCCATGAGGGTTTGCACTAAGCCTGCATGTAGTCTTGGGTCTGAGTCAGTGGGGCTGCTCGGTGGGCTAGTGATGTCGGGGGAGCCCCTGGCTGCAGTTGCTGTGCCTGCCTGGGGCTCACCTCCCCTGGGCCATAGGGATATTCCCCCTACTAACTCGGCTTCCTCTCCAGAGGGTTGGGATGCAGGGTACCTCCCTGCCCCATCATCCCCACATTTCCCGAGCGTGCGCAGCTTATTGGCTGTAACACCCTCTGTGGGGGATGGAGCTCAGGGAGATGTCAGGCCCAGCGCTCTTTCAGCGTCCACACGCGTCGTTCTGTGCCCAGGGCTTCCACTGTTTGGAGCCCCAGTGCAGAGGGAGCAGCCTTTGGCCAGGAGGCAGGGGCTGTACGGACGGGCTAACTTCCTAGACATCGCAGGGCACTGTGGCCCATTTGGACCTTGGCTCTTGGCTCCTGGGCCGATGCCCACGGGAGTGGTGAGTGCTCCAGGTCACCCTTCCTGGCCTCTCAGTGCAGGAGCTTGGGACAGCGCCATCTCACACTGTAAACTGACCCCAAACAAGCCCTGCATAACTCACTTCCAAATTCTTCATTTTCCCTAGCTTCCAAACCTCAAGTAACTCTCTCTGGCCAGATGGACTCTGGGCTTTCCTCAAAGTGTCTCAGGGGCTCCATGGAGCAGTCACCTCTCATTGGCAGCCTTCTCCCAGGAGAAGGGTCTGGGGTCTGGGTGCGGGCTGGGGTCTGGCCACCTGTCCTACACAGAAGGCCGGGGCTCCAGAACAGGGACCCCTCAGCCCACATAGCCACACGTTCGGAACAGACAGGACTGGGCTGTGTAGGTTCTTGCTGTGAGTCTGGGAAAGACCTCTGTTCTTGAGGGTAGGTCCAGGGTATGACCCCTGGGTGCTGGGAGCAAAGCCCAAGGCTGAGGGCGGGCAGGCAGCAGGGGCAGAAAGGATCAGGGGGCTAGGGCAGGGCTGAGATGCCTCCGTACAGCTCCAATTCAGCCCCACTGCGGCGGCTCTGCTGGCCGCGTCGCTGTGTGCCCTGTAGGTAGGTAGGTAGGTAGGTAGGTCCTGAGCCACAAGGCCGTGTGGTGGAAAGGGGAGGTGCTTCCAGACGTGGAGAAAGGCCCCGCTGTGGTAGGGCCTGCGTGCTACGGCAGGACAGCAGGATGTAGGTCTTACTTTTCTTGTCTCCAGACTCCCAGATCCGTGAGGAGAAAGGTCAGTTTATGATTTATGATATGAATTTGATTTTCGAGCCCGTTCCAGAGGCTGAGTTCATCCTGGGCTTCGGAGTGCGCGCTGCACTTGCTCGGCCACAGAGGAGCATGCGCACAGCGCCCCCTGTGTGCCACCTCCGCCTCTTCACCCCCTCCGCGGCTCCGGAGCTGGGGACCCAGGCTCCGTGCCACTTCTTCGGGGACACAGGTCACGGTCCCCATTATAGGCTGTCAGAGCTTCACGTACCTTTTTGTCTCAGTATGTACCACAGCTGCAGGTTTATACTTTGTTGTCAGATTTGTTTTTGAATAGGAAATACATCCACCTGGTTTAAAAATGAACCGATGAATAAACAAACGTGCCTACAATGCGATGTCTCCCCCGCCCCGGCTCCGCGCCTCCCTCGTTTCTTCAGTCGCAGCCACAGGTGACTAGTGTCACTAATTCTTCAAAAAGCGTTTGTTTTTGCGGACACAAGCCGAGTACAGAATCTCACCTCCCCTCCTTAGACACCAGCGGTACCGCACCACACACACTTCTTGGCACCTGGCCTGGTCATCCTAGTGCATCACGGAGATCAGCCCATTTACATGCAGCGCCCGCACCCCTGCTCCCACAGCTGTGCAGATTTCATCGCGTGTTTGTTCCATAAACTAGGCAGCTGGATCGAAGGACTTGGGTGTTTTCCTGTATTTTTTGCTCTTTTGATTAAGCTGGTGCGTAGGGCATTGTATCCCTATGCCAAGAATACAGTGTGCCCATGCGGAGGGCGTTTGGACTGGTCTTTGGCAACCCTGCCGGCGCCGGTGCCCCCCCAGCCCGGTGGGGGAGAACAGTTCTGGATGTCTGCCAGTGTGATGGGTGAAATGTGGATATTGGTTTTAGTTTTAATTTGTATGCTTTTATTATGACTGAGGTGAGGCATCTTTTAATATGTATTTCCTCTTCTATGAGCTGCCGTCCTTACCTTTGGTTCATTTTTCTCTTCAGTGTTTGCTCCCGTATCAATTCTAGGAGTGTTTATAAATTGGGAGGTTTTAGCTCCTGTCGGTGGCGGGGGTCGCACATACGTTTTCCCCGTTTGCCATTTGTCTGTGGATTTTGCCTGTGGTGGTGTTCCTCTGCAGAAGTTCCTCACTGAATGGATTGGTCTTTTCCTTACAGATTCTGCATTGAAAGCCCCTATCCACTCCTTACTCAGAAGGGCATTTTCTTCTGGTTTCTTTTAGTGTTTTATGGATTTATTTTTACACTTAAACCATTGATTCTTTTGGAATTTATTCTGGCATCATTTGATAGGAGGTGTGAATCCAACTTTTTTATTGTTTTCTAGAGAGCCATCCAGCTGTCCCAATACCAACCAGGCACGGGCATGCTGGCCTCCTGGACCGGGAGGCCAAGTGGCAGGGGACTAAACCCGGTTGCATGGGCGTCTGCTCATGGGCCGGCGCCTGCGGCAGAGGCTTCAGGACGGGGCCGAGAGCCCGGCGGGCCTGGTCGTTTTCCCCTGTTGCTCTTCTTTTGCAGTTTTCTGGGCTGGATTTGCGTATTTTTTTATGTGAACTTTAGAATAAGCTTGCAGTGTGGAGAATGAAGCTTATTTTTATTTTATTTATATTTATGGGGCTAATGCTGGTGTGTGACACTGTATGAGGTTCAAGGGCATGAGGTTCAAGTGTATGCAGTTTGTGGTACCACCTCTGCACCTCCGCTGTGTGCTCGCCGCCCGAGCCTGCTCTCCCGTCATCTCACGTCTGACCCCGTGGCCCCCTCGTCCTCCCCTTTCCCTGTCATTGTATTAGGATCGCTATAGATGATACATTTACTCAGGGAGATCGGGAGGAATGCCTTTCTCTTCGTTGAAGTCTGTCTTTTGCCCTACAAAAGTGTATTCAAGTTTTCTTACTAAGGTCCTACACCTTCTTGTTCAGAATTTCATCTTGTTATGATTATAAATGCAGACTTTCTTCCACTGTTTCCTCACCACTTATTTTTGCTTGGTTTGTGTGCCTTCCCACTGATAGGAAACCATGAGGTGTTTATTTAATTTATTTTAATGAAATGTATTGGCTTGCCCTGGCTAACACTACCACATGAGTTTGGGCGTAATCGCCCTGATGTCCTGGTGCCGGGCTGTGTCTGGCAAACAGTGGGCGCTGGTCAGCGGGGAGTGAGCAGACTGTTGTGGGGGGAGGTGTTTAGACAGGGAGGCGCTTCCTCCACCAGGAGCTGGTGTCCCCCTGAAGCTGCTCTTGTTAACATGCCCATAGGGACCCAGAGCTATAGATCTCCCTCTCTTCCTCTTTTCTCCCCTATTTGCTGAGCCCCGACAATGCGCCATGACCTTGCCGGCGGTTTTGGGAGGTACGGGCATCACACGCACCTCCACGCCAGGGCCCGAGCTCACCAGCTGCACACAGATAGGAACTCAGGCTCGGAAATCAGTGCCAGTCCTGGCTCTGCCTCCCTCGGCCGGCCTGAGGCTGGGCAAAGGCCTTCAGCTCCGAGCTCAGCCCCTCGTCCGTCATGACCGTGGGGCTAATGATGACACCTGCTTTACAGGAATGCTGTGCAGGTGTGTGTCGGGCCCTCCGCACAGGGCCGGGCACGCAGGGCATGTTCGGTGAACACCGGGACGTTTCTGGGCCCCAGGGTTGCTGCCCTGGAAGTGATTCCCAACCTCGGAGATGACCCTTGAACAATCCCGTGTGAAGTGCGGGTCAACTGAAAAACAAATCTGTCTGTACGTGGATCAGCAGGGTCCACCCCGTGCTGCCCGGAGGTCAGGCCGTCTGCAGTTGCCGAACTGGCTGCTGGGAGCAGCGTGTGCCCTCTCGGAGGCCGTCTGGCATCTCCTCAGGATCCCGGCTCCCACCAGCTGCGTGTCCTTGGGCAAGTCGCGCTCCCACCCCGGGCCTCCTGGGCCTCATTTGTGACGTTGGGAGGCTGGACGAGAATGAGCCCCGAGGCCTGCCTCCCTGTGCCCCGACGTTCTGTGTGTCTGACGCAGACACACCCGGCCCCGCTGGCCAAGCGTGCTTTGGCGATCTCCCGAGGAGATGGATGTTTGGCGCTATCGCAGTCGTTAAAACATAACAGGCTTCTGAACTGGGGCCAGAACATAATGAATCCCATTTCTATAAAACGACGATGATGACGAGACCAGCCGTGGAGTGGGGTTTGTTGGCGTGGCCGGCCCGTCTGGCCCCCCTGTCCTCTGCAACGAACACAGGAGTGAGCCTCTGGCAAAGTCGTTCGGTGTGGCGCCTGCGGAGCTTCCGAGTACAGCCAGGCGTGAGTGGCTGGGCTGGCTCCCCTTTCTCTCGGGCTGACGGGGCCGAGGCTCCAGTTTATACTTGTGTTGGTGCCACGGGCGGGGCTTCCTTCCACCACCTGTCCAGGTTCCGGGCTGTCAGAGTCAGGGGGGTGTTTGAGACCACATAGTCAAGAGCCTCACTTTATAGAGGGAGACCCCAAAGGCCAGAAGGGAAGAGCTTTGCTGAAGCCTTGCAGCTGGTGAGCAGAGATCCACAGATGCTTGTGTGCTCCTCTCCATTTCTCCACGGCCGGGACTGTGCCCCCCCGCCCCCCCAATGGCTCCTACCTGCCCCTGCGGGTCTGGCAGTGGCCCTCTTCCCAGGTTCCCCTAGCCTGTCTGGTCCCTTCCTGGGGAAGGTATGTTTGACAGCCAAGGACTTTGTCTGATGGGCTAAGTAGATTGGCCATTATCCCAAGGGGCAAGAGGGGACCATCAAAGGTGGCATTATGACTGGACATCATTTATTGAGCCCTGAGTGCTGGCAGGAGTGGGGGGGGCGGGCATGGGAAGCCAGGGCAGGAAGTGCCAAGGGCCCCGCTCTCCAGCAGCCTGCGGTCTTCCTGGCTGAACCTCAGGGTCTGACAGGGGTGAGTCCTGACCAGCTGGGCCCCAGGGGACAGGGAGAGGACGCAGCTGGAGATGGGGAGGAGGCTGTCCCGAAACCCAGGAAGAGACCATGGGGTCTGAACCGAGGCTGCGCAGCAGGACTGGGGAGGCTTCTGTTTTACAGAGGGAGTCACAGGACTTGGTCACTAGTGACTGGACCTGGAGGTGGGTGACCATGAGGGAAAAAGGAGTTGACAGTGTCCAGGCTCTGGCTGGACTCTTCCAGACTGTAACTGCCCAGGTGGCAGAGGAGCAGGGTGGGGGCTGCCATTGGTCCTAAGGTGTCCCTAAGGGATGGCACGGCCTCACCGTGCAGCTGCCTGTGGTGTCTCTTTGGGTTCTGTCGGCCCGTGGTCCGCGTTCTCCCCGGGGTCTAGTCCCGTGTGCCGGGGAGCATGTGGGCGCTCCCAGAAAGGTGTCTGTTCACATGCTTCGTCACTATTTTTGAAAAATGCCTTAGGCTGTCTTGTCTCTAGTGAAAGGAGAGAGACGAGAGAGGAGTGGGCACAGAGCTGGTCGCCCTGGCCCAGGTCTCGCCATTCCTCTGTCTCCGCTGTCCACTCACTAGTTCCTGTTGTGGGAAAAGGGGCCTGGAGTTACCAAAGGGGTGAAAGATATGGCCCCTCTTCTCGAGGAGTTTATGGTTTAATTGAAGGGACAAGAAGAAATAAGGAGTCACTAGGAAGCAGTACCATACACCAGAAGTTCCAGAACTGGGAGTTTGGAGCAGGCCCTAGTAATCTGGGAAGGCTGCTTGGAGGAGTTGATAGGCCTAAAAGGTGAGGGAGAATGGGTGAGGGAGAGTGGAAAAAGAAGGTAAAACAGCAGCGGGAACTGCATGTGCAAAGACGCCGAGGTGGGAATCGGGAGATTCACAGGGGCATCCAGACTGGGTTGGTAGGTCTTCTGGGAACTTAGGTCCTTCGTTAGCTCCTGCAGCTTGGAAGAACAGAGCAGGGGTGACAGAGTAACCTATTGGGCTTGGGAGGTGTTTCCCCAAACCCAGCTCCTCTCCCCAGGGGACCTTTCCCAGCCTCCTGGAGAGGGACGTCCGTCTGTTGAGCCCCGCCCCCAGCCCCTCAGGACTTGTGTTCTCCGGTCTCACTCTGAGTTTCTTGTCGGGTGGCCCCCTTGGGCAGTGGCTCTCCAGAGGCAGGACCTGGTTTGGGACGCTCGGTACTTGCCCCAGGAGTGTCCAGAGGTTTGTCACTGAGGGCTAAGGGGTAGTGGCCAGTGTAGAAGGCAGGAAAGCTAGTTCCTACTGGACGGAGCTACTCAGCCAAACCAAGGGACCCAGGAAGGCCAGAGCCCACAGCCCAGCTGCTGGCCCCGCCCTCCTCAGCTGAACCTGCGCTCTGGGCTGCCCCAGTCCCAGGGGGTGGCGAAGGCAGAGCCCTCCCAGACCAAGGCTTCTGTGCAGGCTTTCCATGGAAGAGCTTGGCTCTGGCCCTTCCCTCGGCACTCTGGACACTCAGAGGTTAAATCTTTCACTGAGTTTCTGCACCAGGTCTGCTCCCTGGGAACCTGGGAGGGTGGGAGCCAGCAGGGCCAGCCCAGCCGGGCCCTGCCCAGCCCGGCTGGCAGCCAGGACGGGAGCCCAAGGGTTAACAAAAGCGGCAGTGCTGATAAAATGCCCCAAATTCCTGTTCCTGCCTCCAATGGGGAGTGCGTCTGGCAAATGTCAGCGATAAAAAATACATTTTAATGGCACCTGATGCAGTCGCTACCGTGGGGCTGGGGCGCAGCTGAGCGAGGCAGGTCTGGGGCAGCCACTGCCGGGTGTTACTCCCCCGGCTCAGGGCCACGCCCTTCGGGCCCCTCCCCTGGCCGCAGCAACCAGGGTGACCCACCTCCCCAGCCCCAAGCGTCCTCAAGGGCCCATGGGTGCCCGGGGGCCCCAGACTTCTCTGGCATTACTTTAGGAACTTGGCTCACCACCTACCTTGCTACCTTGAACTCTAGCCTTGGAGGGAGCTTCCCTCCGGGTCAGGATGCAGCTGAGTCTCCCAGCGCCCTCAGCAGGCGTCTGTGAGTGCGGAGCAGAAGTGAACAAAGGAGTGACTAGATGGCAGAGGTCAGCGAGCAACGTTTTCCTCAGATCCCTGCCCCCCCACCCATTCCACAGGCTCCTGGGCTGGGAAGCTGCTTTTCTTGCTAACAACTGTGAGGAGGGGCTGAGCCCCTGCAGTGGGCATTTCCAGGGAGGACAGACCACGTGTGAGCAGTGGGGAGGGGGTAAGCAGGCTGGGGGGCGGGGAGAAGAGGGGGGAGAAGAGCGGGAGAAGCCAGGGGGAGAGTCTGCCTGGAGGGGAGAACCTGAGGGAGGTAAGTTATGTACCACGGTCCCATTTTGCAACTATGGACGCTGAGGCTCAGAGACGGTCAGTGACTTGACTGAGGTCGCACAGTGAGGCAGCTCGCCCTGGACTTCTACCTGTGACTCAGAGTTCCCCTTCCAGCACTGTGCTGAGTTCACCAGGGGGCTTTGAACTAAGTTCACGGCCCCAGGGTGACAGCCTGTCACCTCAGCGGGTCCTGGGGGCGGCCTCGAGCTGCAGCAGAGAGGCTAAGTAGGGCCCCGGGGGCTGGGTGGGGGTCCAGGGGCCTGGCTCTGCAGGTGGGAACTTCAAGACCTTTCTGGGCCCAGGCCCTGCAGCCTGGCCCTGCAGCCTGGGCTTTCAGGAGATGAGGGCCAGCTCGGGGCCAGCTGAAAGAGGCCCAGGGTCAGGGGGTGGCAGACCTGGAGCTCAGAATGAGACCCTTCTCTTCTAGATCATCCTCAACTCCATGCACAAGTACCAGCCGCGGCTGCACATCGTGAAGGCTGATGAGAACAATGCTTTTGGCTCCAAAAACACAGCCTTCTGCACTCACGTGTTCCCAGAGACTTCCTTCATCTCTGTGACCTCCTACCAGAATCACAAGGTACAGCTGTGGTCCCCACAGCCTGCTCCACCCCCAGACACCCTGCGGCATTTCTGCTAGCATTTCAGAGAGGAAGCTCTGGAGGCAGTGGGGCTGAGGCAGGTGCAGCTCAGGGACCTCAGAGCCTGCCACGTCCCTCAGAGCAGTGAGATGTCGCATAGTGGGCAGGAAGGGGGACCAGACTCCTCCACCTCTGGCACAGAGTGGTTATGGCCTCTATCTGGGGGCTGGATGAAGTTGGCAACGGTAAAAGCTGGGGCCTGGAGCCTTCCCCATTGGCTTGAGTGCTAGGACCCTTGGTCTCTAATATCCCTCCCTGGTGGGCCTCAAGGGTCGCGTTCTGGGCCTGCAGAGAGATGGGAGGGAGTAAATGGGGAGGGGGCCCTGTGCACTGGCAGCTGTGTGGGAGCAGGGGCATGGAACCACCGCAGGCCCTTCCCAAGCTGTGCTCAGAAGGCCGGGGGTGTCCTGGCTGCCTCTGCTGCCCGCCCTCCCCCGCCCACCTCTCCGTGGCCTCTGCTTTTGCCCCGCTACCCTTTCTGGGTGCTCTTTACATCGTGCACACGGGACTGGTGAGGTGGACGGGGGTCACCATAGAGGACCGTAGGCTGTGGTGGGTCTTAGGCAGAGAGTGACAGAGTCAGATCTGCACTTGGAGTGGTCACTCAGAACCTGATGCGGCAGCTGCGCTGGACAGGGGTGACGTGGACAGGAAGCTGTTACAGGCCCCCAGGAGAGGATGATGCGGGACTGAAGCCAGCAGCGTGGGGAGAGCCGAAGGCAGACTTAGAGGGTCTGCAGCAAGGAGGGTGGGTGAGAGCCAGTGAGGAGATGCCAGCGGTGAGGCCAAGGAGGTCCCAGCGAGACTCCTGGCCAGCCCAGGGCTCGGGGTGTGACTTCCCCGGCCCCCGCTGTGCGTTCCGACCGTGCCTGGGGTGGGGCACGGGGACCAGAGGACAGACAGCCCGGCCCGCTACCCCGGCGACCCTGCTGTGTGTCCTCTCCTGACAGATCACACAGCTGAAAATTGAGAACAACCCTTTCGCCAAGGGATTCCGGGGCAGCGACGACAGTGACCTGCGTGTGGCCCGGCTGCAGAGGTGGGCTTCCCGGCCGGGATGGGGTGGGCGGACTGGGTTCTTGCGCCTGGAGTCCGTAACCTCAGGGCACCTTCGCCCCTTCCCTGTGTCCCTCCGCCTGTGCTCCCCGCTGCTCCAGCAAAGAGTACCCCGTGATCTCCAAAAGCATCATGAGGCAGAGGCTCGTCTCCACTCAGCTCTCGGCCAAGCCCGACGTCAGCCCCCTGCACGGCCCCCACCAGGCGCTCCAGCACTACCAGTACGAGAACGGCGCCCACATGCAGTTCGCCGCGGCCGAGCCGCAGGACCTTCCCCTCAACGCCTTCCCGGCCCAGAGGGACTCCAGCCTCTTCTATCACTGCCTGAAAAGACGAGGTAGCTCTCTCCTGGCCTAGAGGCCCCAGGGGGTCGGGGAGGGGTGCAGCTCTCCTCACACACACTCCCCACTGCTCATGGAGCGTGCACGATCGCACACCCGTGTGCTTGTGTGCACAGGCACACACACGCACGCACCTGGTGACTTGTGTGGCCCAGGGGAGCAAGCCTGAAAGGACAGGGACCACAGCCAGGCTCAGGGCCGGGAGGTTGGGTCTGGCTTCAATGCAGCCTTCGGAACGCTCACAGACAGCCCGTGGCCTGGGTGTCCCCAGGCCCCGTATCCCGCCGCAGTTCAGGTGCAGCTTCGCAGCCTGCGCCTGCGCCGGGAGCCCTGCACCGGGTGGCCCTGCCCCTGGGCACGGGAGGAGGCCGAGAGGTCACAGTCCAGCGTCATCTGCCAAAGCAACCTCAGTCCTAAAACAGGGATGAGCTAGAGACACGACGACGACAGGCTCCCACTTGTCACACCGGGACCTGCGAAGGCTTCCGGAGAGCGGGAACACGCTGCCGCGGGTGGGGGTGGGGGGTGGGGGGTGGGGGTGGGCTGCGCCGTCCCCGCCGAGCGGGCTTCTCCGTGAAGGACAGGCGCCCTGAGCGCCGGGACCCACCCAGCGTCCGCGCTCTGGTGCGGGGTCTCGGTTTCCTGGCCTACAAAATGGGGATGTTATTCCACTGGGAGACTTCCACTGAATTCCACTGAAATTCTCCTGGGAATGAGTTTGGGGACTTCGCTTGCATTCCAGAACGTTCTCTCGGCCCAGCTCCCAGCTCTGAGGATCCCCCGTGCCTGTCCCGTTAGAACCACTGACCTAGACCCGAGCTGGCGATCTGCGGCCCGTGGGTCCGTGTGTGCTGGCCTGTGAGCTGTACAACATGGTTTTCACGTTTTCAAATAGTTGAAAAAAATCAAAAGACTACTTCATGATATGTGAGCGTTATATAAAACACAAATTTTAGTATTCATAAAAAAAGACAGTGAAACACAGCGGTACATGTCTATTTACCTGTCGTTGTGGCTGCTGTCCTGCGACCACCGCGGGGCCGAGCGGAGGGAGGCCTGGCGCCGCCGCGGCCTCGGGCCTCACTGAGTGTCATGAAACCAGGGCGACCCCAGGCCACTTGATGTGGACTCGAGTTCAGTTCCTGCAGCATGTTTCTGCTCCCAGAAACATCACCACCCTTCTCAATGAAGACCCAAAACACTTCAATATTAAACTTTGAGATAAGTTAAACTGTATATACATTTAAGAAAGATTAATTTACAAAGGTAAGAGTGATTTTTCCAACCCACTGATCCCAGTTCAGAGTCTTGGGCGGTGAGAGCTGATCTCGCAGCTCAGGGCACAAGGCGGACCGCCCCGGACAGGGCGCCCTTCCGTCGCAGGACTGGTCACACCCCCAGCCCCACTCGGACTGCCACCACCCGGACCCGGACGACGCAGGCACGCCCCTCCCCTCAGGCACTCATCCTGGGACCGGGGAGGAAACCCGAGTGCCGGAGGAAACCCGCGTGGATGTGGGGAGAAGGAGCGAACTCCACACAGACGGTGGCCCTGGCCCAGAAATGTTTTTTCCCTCATCAACATTATAAAGAAATGACGTTGAGCAAAACAGCTTTATTCAGAGGCCTAATGCAGTCGTGACAGGTTCCATATGGCCCACAAAGCCTAAAATATTTACTATCTGGGCCTTTACAGAAAAAGTTTGCTCACTCCTGACCCAGAGTGACTGGGCCACTTTCCAAGTTCAAGAGCTTAGTGTTCTTGAGAGAAAGGAGGACTTGGGAGAGGAGATGGAGAGAGGGGACGAGTGGGGGACGACTGAGAGGGCTGGGTAGGAGAGAGGGAGGGGCGAGTCCCTCCCTCTCGGGGAAGCTGCCTCCAAAGGGGGCAGAGAGGAGCGCAGGCCCGCACACATGGCCACTGCCCCGGGCCGCCCTGCGCTGTGCAGGCACACAGCTCGCAGGACGAATCCCTAGAGAAGACCGGGTGGTGCGCCAAGAGGAGCCACTGGAGAAGTGTTCTTAAGTCTGCTGAGTAAGCTGCTGCCCCGGTCCCGGGGCCTGGGGCACCCCTGGGTGCCCGGGGTGGGGGGTGGGGAGGCCACGCTGCACCAGGCAGTCCAGCCCTCGTGGATGGGGCCGTGGGAAGACGCACAAACGTGGTTTGGGGCAGCGGCTGCCCTCTTTCCCGGAACAGACTATTAGCTTAGGCTCCCAAGTACAAGTCACCTTTTACTTATTACCAGCTCCATTTCTTAATTTTGTAAACAGTGTGATATTGGAATCTGTGATTAACAGTTTGATGGGACTTCTTTGAACATGCGTAGGGTTTACTTCTTCTGAAAGCAACAGGAACGTGCTACCCGGAGCTTTGGCTGGCTAAGGCCTTCGTGGGAGCGGAGGCTAGAGGCAGAGACGCTGCGGCTTTCATTTTCTGGCTAATTCAGACAGATGTGGCCTCTGGGCTTGGTTTGGTCTGGAAGTTGTCTCTACTTTCCTTGGCCAGAAGTGGGCCTCGTCTGAGAACGCCAGCACACATGAAGGCCACTTCCCATCCCCAAGCGTCAAGGCAAAGGATCAAAGCTGTGCGCCTCCTGGCCAAGCACATCGCTCAGTGTCCAGTGATGCAGTGTCCCCCTTGGCCTGTGAGCAAGGCCCATACTCTTACCGCTTCTTGGCTGCTGCCACCTTGTAGAAGCTGTGGCTGATTAAGATGGTTCGGGGAGTGCCAGGGCGACACGGGGCAAGGGCGGGCCCGAGTGACGAAGGTAGGCTGTCCTGGCATCGGGCCGGGTGCTCTGATCCGGGGGCTGGTGGGGGAAGGCCCTTCCTGAAGGTTTCTTTGTCTTCCAGCAGACAGTGCCCGCCACCTGGACTTGCCCTGCAAGCGCTCCTATCTGGAAGCTCCCTCCGCGGTGGGGGAGGATCACTACTTCCGGTCCCCCCCTCCCTACGACCAACAGATGCTGAGCCCCTCCTACTGCAGTGAGGTGACCCCAAGAGAAGCCTGTATGTACTCAGGTTCCGCGCCTGAGATGGCCGGGGTGTCTGGGGTGGACGACTTGCCCCCACCCCCGCTGAGCTGTAACATGTGGACGTCGGTCTCCCCGTACACGAGCTACAGCGTGCAGACCATGGAGACCGTGCCTTACCAGTCCTTCCCCACGCACTTCACCGCCACCACTGTGATGCCTCGGCTGCCTGCCATCTCCGCTCAGAGCCCCCAGCCACCGGGGAACACCCACTTCAGTGTCTACAATCAGCTCTCGCAGTCTCAGGTCCGAGAGCGGGGGCCCACCGCCCCCTTCCCCAGGGAGCGCGGCCTCCCCGCGGTGTGCGAGAGGAAGCCGCCCTCTCCGCACCTGAATGCTGCCAGCGAGTTTCTCTACTCGCAGAGCTTCTCCTTCTCCCGGGAAGCCTCCCTACAATATCATTCAGGAATGGGGACCGTGGAGAACTGGACTGACGGGTGACTCCCACGTCCCCCCCCACCCCGAGACAGCCCCAGGACCGTGGTAACCCAGTGTTAGCCCCTGTGGGTGGCCTGCACTACCGAGAAACACAGGAAGGTATTTTAAAGAGTGGGTGTGTGCGTGTGTGTGCGCGTGTATCGGAGGGCCTCTGTCTCCCGCCAAACCTCTGAGGCCACGACCAGGCAGAAAACACGGTGGTCTGAGAAGTGCTTTTGTCTGCAGGACCTGCGTCCGCTGTTACCGGACATCCCCTGAACATGCCCACAGGTGGGGTGGAAGGGACAGTTCGTGTGAGTTCTCGAGAGGTTTTTACAATGTCATACTGACTTACTCAGGGCCAGGTGGTGAGGTCTGCCCGCAGGGACAGTGGCGGGGGGACTCTCATTGCCGGGGTGGGAGGGCTCTCTGCAGGCCGCAGAGCTCCTGGCCGCAGTTTCATGAGCGGAGCTGAGAACCCTGTTGGGAGCCGAGCCTCGGCCCATGCCTGTGGCTTCTGGAGATTCCGGGAGGCTGCCTGAGAGGTGGGCCCGGCCCGGCGCAGAGCACACTCAGAGCAGAGCTGGCTGCTCAGCCAGTGGCCTGGAAACTCGCCCCCGGAGCTCTGGGGGCTGAGGGCTGACTGTCAGAGAGGGTCAGGTGCTAGGGGCCACCTGATGAGTATTAAATTTTTTTTCCTTCAAGAGGAGGGAAAATGAAACCAATGGCATCTCTGTCATCATTCAGGTTTTCTTATAAAGTACAGAGCCCGTCCCCTTTGGTCCCCGACGTGCAGGCTCTCACTCCTTCTGGGGTGTAGGACCTGGCCTCTCGGGCACCGTCTGCGTCCTGGCGCTGGCGACGAGGAAGCGCTGGTGCCCCGGCCGGGCACCTCCAGAGCCTGTTCCGCTCCGGGTCCCTCTGGGGCAGGGTGGCCCAACAGAGGTAAACATGAGACCGGAGAAAACATTCCCTCCTCCCAGTAAATTCAGCGCTCCGAGGAGCAGGGACGACTCTTCTCCCGTGGGGCGGGTCGGAGGGCCTCCACCCAGCGCTGTGGCATCACCAGGCCACCCGTGCGGCTGGTGCGAACCCTGTCACCAGATTGGGGAAGTCACTACATTCTTTGCATGCTGAATAGCTATTTATATATTATATAAGTAAATAAAGAAATATATATATATATATCTCACAAATGCAGGCCACATGTCAAATTCAGCTTTGCTTTTTACAAATGAATAAACTTTAAAAAGTGAAACGTTGGAGGGGGGTATTTGGAAAGACATCTATTTAAATTTTTATTACACACCTGATGTTAAAAATTAAGAATGGTGTAGAAAAACATATAAATAAATAAATATATATAGAGAGAGATATAAACACACACAGTACAGATTAAACTTCTATTAGAAGACACATTAGCTAACAGGGGACATGGAATTTCCAGTGTTTCATTATATAGCATGGACGTTTTATTTCACGTATCGGAACATAAAGCCATTTGACAACTGCGAAGTGTGTGGGTGCTCTTTACTGCTGGCTCGTCCGTTCTCGGTTCAGCAACGGCCTCTGCTTCCCCTTCGCTCGTGGTTTTCTCTGGAGGGCCACGCGGGGCCCTCGGTGCCGCTGACACTTGTATCAGGAGCCTCTCCACTTCAAGAGATGTCGGTTACGACACGGAGCAACTGGACTTTGACTTCATGCTCCTCCTCCAGTGACGGGCCCACGAAGACCCCGGAAGGACGGGGTAGGCCGTGCACAGGAACCCGTCACCTCTCAGTGGTCAACACACAACCTGGTGATTCTGGGAGGTGGTCTCCCAGTGGGGTTTGTGCAGCTGCTGCAAAAAAGGAGCTGAGCGCAGGTTCCCCTCGAGGCCGGTTCCCCTGGGCTGTCGGCCGTGAGGTCGTCAGCCACCCACACCCAGAGAGGCGGGCTCCGGGCCTGACGAAGCCGTCCACACGCACACTCCTCCGCTAGGTTCCCTGAAGCCTGGTCGCAGGAGGGAGGGGGGAAAGGGAGAGGGAATCCAGTCCAGGTTCTCCCTACTGGATTAGCAGAGAAACCGGTGTCAGAAGGTGCTACTGCGTCTCCCTCCACACAGCCCCCTGCCTCTTGCCCGCCCCTCACGGCTCCTGTGCCAAAGCCATTCACCGCCATCCACCACCTGAAGTGCAGGCTGGTCTGGGGCGCCAGGGGGACAGAGGGCGAGGGTGAGGGTGTCTTTTCAGCCCTGTCCTCAGCAGGATTAAGATGAGACTTTCTGCTGGATAAAAAGTCAGTCTTGTCTCCTGTTTCCTCGGAGTCCTTCCCTTGTGGCTCTCGGGTTTCTCTCTGGCTGGACTTCTTCCCTTGGCTGTTGGCTCCCTCCCTGGGCTTGCTGATCACTAAGGAAAACTTAACTCGTCTCGGGGGACAGGAGAGGGGGGCGGTGTGCTCTTCCGAACACACACTTGCTCTGCTCCTTCCTTTCTGGGTGAAGACTGCATTCTGGGATACTCCGTACCTTCTAGAGCCCCCGGCAGAGGGCTGGGAGCGAGCTGTGGGTTCCAAAGCTCTTTCCAGACACGGAGCTGCCTGCGTCCCAGGTAGAGAGAGCCATTTCTAAAGGGAGCGCTTGCCTGCAGGCACCCCGTAGCTTCCCACCAGCTTTCTGGGAAGCAGGAAGGAGCTCCGTGGTCTTCCCCGCCCGGGTATGGCCAGAGCAAGGCCTGCAGTGGGATTTGTGGAGCTTTCCTGCCCCTCTGGATCGACAAGTCAATAAAAAGGGGGCACATGGGATACCCTGGAACAAAGGGCACTATTCAGTAGCGCCAACAGGTCGTACATCATCGGGCCAGAAGCCTGCCACATGAAAAGTGTCTGCTTCTGCTGTGCCCTGCCTGGGGAGGAAAAAAAAGAACGATGAACATTCATCTGTGAGGCCACAGGCGGGCGCCCCCCAGGGCTCCGCGCCCCAGCCCGGGCCCAGGCCACTGGGAAAAGCGGGGCTAGGCTCTCCGCCAGCTCAGCCACCCGACAATGTCCTCCCGCAGCGGAAGAGGCTGGAATAACAAAAGGGAGAATGAGAAGAGAAGTTGTGTGGGTCAGACTGACAAATTGTTAAAAAACCAAACCAACTTCCAGCCTCTGCTGGGCCTCAGGAGGTCAAGAGGCCTCGGCTGGCCCCGCTAATGGAGCCTGCTGGAGGGGCAGCGCCGGCCCCTCGGTGTCTTATCTTACAGCATAAAATTAAAACCCACTTAAAAGGCCGGAGGGCATGTTAACATTCCCCCTGCTGTCTAATTGAAGTAGTTTCCAGTGCAAAGGATTTCACTTGAAAGATGTCCCCCTCCACGCCCCGGTCCTGGTCCTGCTGCTTGGCCGGCAGGGGCGGGGGCGGGGAGGGAGAGGCTGTCCTGTCGAAGACCAGCACCAGCTCCGGCCAGAAATGCGCCCCTTCTGCCTGCTGCCCCCACCCAGGCGGCAGGTGGCGACAGCAAAGGTTAGGACAGGTTGGGCTGTTTTGTATTTTTTTAAATTTACAAATTCATTAGCAGCTGTGTCAGCAGAGGCCAGACCCCTGACGAGCAGCCCTGGCAAGGACTCCAGTATGGCCAGTGCCACAGGCAGACCTGGCGGTTTCTGCGGCCGGAGGTTTCCACTCTGTCCCCCAGCGAGGCCCTCCTCCCTCCTATGCAAACGCGCTGCAGGTCTCCAAGGCATACGGAATCAATCAGGGACATCCTGTAAAGGTGATGAACTTGCACCGGCCATCCCGAGTAATGGGAACCAGTCAGCCCGAAGCCGGCTGGGACTGAAAGCCAAGGTGACAGCTATTAAGCAATTGTGTGCAGAACAAAATGGCAAAGGGGCCAGGTAATCAATTCAATTTCGATGGGCAAACCCAGCAACGGCAGCGTCTGTCGCAGCTGATTAGAGAGGGCCCGGCCGGGGCGCGCCGTGCGCGCCCATCGCAGATCAGAAACAGGCCCGGGATGAAAAGGGAGGGAACTGTCTCCTGAGAAGCAGGCGATGAAGGACTCTGTTTTATGTGACTGTGTTCTTCCTCCTCTCCTTGAAGAAAGAGCAGAAAAAAAGCAAGCAGTTTGGAGATTAGATAGTTTTCTTTTCAGCCATTTATCATTATGAAAGAAAGTAGACAGGGCAGGGGCAGAAAACTCTCCAGTGGGATTTCTGCAAAGTCTCACTAAGAAGGACCAGGTTTACACTCCGCGGCTCAGACGGGCCCTGCTCATTACCACAGCCTGACGGGATCTGCGCAGCATCCAGGGTCCCTCTCCTCTAACGAGGGTGAGCAGGCCCCCTGGCTTTGAGGATCACAGACATTCTCCTGCAGAAACCCCAAACTGCCAAATTGTATCATTTGCGAAAATTAATGCCCGAGTTAGAGTAATGGGGAGAGGAGGCAAACGGGGAAGCAAAAGATGAGATGGAGTTGGGCTGAGTCCCAGCGGGTTAGGCCCCAGCTGCGGCCGCCAGTTACCTGGGCCCTGCTGTGTGCCCGCCGTCAGCACTGGCCCTGGGAGGGCCCTGGCGGCCGGCCTGAGAACTCTGGGTCTGAGCCTGGTTCTCTGGTGCGGGCGCTGGGGGAGGCAGAGCAAGGGGGCACCCGCAGGCACAGAGGCAGTGACTGGCGATGGGGCCTGTGGAGGCAGCGGGAGGGGCTTGTGAGCAGATGGCGAGGGAGGCACAGCCAGGAGGCTGAGGGCGGCCCTGGAGCCCAGGCCGGGGAGTGAGCATCCGGGGTGGGAGGGCTCGGGCAGGGCTGGTGGGGAGGGCGGGAGGGGGCTCAGAAAACCAAAGCAGTGGGTGCCCGTGATCAGATCGTGGTTAGGAGGAGAGTTACAAATGGTTGATTAACCTGAACAGAACCAACCTCATCAACAATCTAACATTTAATTCAGTGACACAACACCAGTGTTATGTAACAAATTAATAAACTTCTAAGAAAAGACGTGGGGAAACCTCTCTCGGTCATTGCTGAGACTGTCCTAGTCCCTTGGAACAAGGCGGACAAAGGC